CATTGTACGTATCAATGTAGCAATGTATCCAGGTATCAATGTATCATTGTATCTATGTATGAGTGCATCAATGTATCAATGCATCAATGTATCAATTCACCGGTCAGTTCGACTTGGAACTGGAGGTAGTGGTTGAGTGCATCGCTTGAAAGGTATCCATGGCATATCGATCTATCATTCAGACTTATCAGCAGCTCCTTCCTGTCTGATAGTTTTGCCACTGACTTCTAAAATTGAAAAAACCAATGAAGTTAAAATAAAATTCATCTGCTACTACTACTACTACTACTACAACATCTGTTCCATTTGCACCTCGAACAATTAAGCTTCTATTAGACCATGAAAAGTATGTAAAACTTATTCATAATTTTACAGTTAATAGTAAATTAGTCAGCTAATCAATTAATCAAATTTTGAGATACGTTCAACTCAACAAATAAAATCAACCAATCAAATTTTGAGGTACATTCAACTCAACAAATAAAATCAACCAATCAAATTTGAGGTACATTCGGCCAATCAGCTTAATTAAATATTTTATAGGGGAAAAAAAAGCAAGACCCGATTGAATGAGGGAAAAGTCAGTGGGAGGAGGCTGAGCAGGGAGTGAGTTCCCATACCGAAAAATACCCCATACTGTTTGTGGTGATAATGGTGGGGGTGATGATGGTGGTGATGGTGATGATGATAGTGATGATGGTGGTGATGATGATGATGATGAAGACGACGATGATGATGATGATGATTATTATTATTATTATTATTTATATTATGATCGTGATGACGACGACGATGATGAAAGTGATCATGAAGCTGATGATGGCCGATAACAAACAGACTGATGATGGCAACATTAAAAACGTTTAAATTTTAAATTTCAAAGAGAGGGACATCCAATCAGCTGAACGGCCGATCTGCAACTGACCTCGATGCCCAGGGTCAGCGAGGCGATGAACGTCACCAGCCACGGGACCATTTCAACATCTTCGGGTTCAAACAAATTCACGATCAATATTTTTATTAGCCGATCGGATATATCCACTTGTTAAAACACACACGCGTGCACGCACACAAACACTCACTCACTCACACACACACATGCATACACACTCACATGCATACACACTCACACACTCACACACACATCCATACACACACACACATTCCAAATTTACAGCTTTCATGCTTATCCTCTCAAATATTTACACCAGATAAAAAAAAAACAGATGAACAAACAGCCACGCGTATTTACAATTAGTGACACCAACATACACAAAAACACAAAAACATACAAACACACATATAAACAAACATACATACAAAAAACATAAACACAAATATACAAACAAGCAGACAAACAAGCATGTGAGCGAACAACAAGTGAACGCCGCAAACGAACTGTTTGTCGTCCAGATGATGGCAAACTTGTGGAAGGTGCAGACGTCAATGGCCCCCATCATGATGGTGGCTGCCATACACGAGACTGGAATGTACTTGTAGAGGAAGTTGATGAAGAAGGTGCAGATGATCACCACTGTGGCTGAGTGAGTGAGTGAGTGAGCGAGTGAGTGAGTGAGTGAGTGAGTGAGTGAGTGAGTGAGTGAGTGAGTGAGTGAGTGAGTGAGTGAGTGAGTGAGTGAGTGAGTGAGTGAGTGAGTGAGTGAGTGAGTGAGTGAGTGAGTGAGTGAGTGAGTGAGTGAGTGAGTGAGTGAGTGAGTGAGTGAGTGAGTGAGTGAGTGAGTGAGTGAGTGAGTGAGTGAGTGAGTGAGTGAGTGAGTGAGTGAGTGAGTGAGTGAGTGAGTGAGTGAGTGAGTGAGTGAGTGAGTGAGTGAGTGAGTGAGTGAGTGAGTGAGTGAGTGAGTGAGTGAGTGAGTGAGTGAGTGAGTGAGTGAGTGAGTGAGTGAGTGAGTGAGTGAGTGAGTGAGTGAGTGTGTGAGTGAGTGAGTAGGTGCGTAAATGGAAAAATTTTATTAGCGATACTTAATTCGCGATATAAAATAATAACTCGTGCACAGCACTTTTATGCCAATTTATTTAAAAATATAATTATTTTAACAACTTTGTCGAATTATATTTTCAAGCAGGTAGGCATTCATCTGGCAGTGACCAAACCATGAACATTAACATGACCACCAGCCACCTACCACCTACCATCACCCCCAACCACTAACCAGCCAGCACTCCACCCAATGGAGTTTGCACTCCGGCATTGAAGTTTATTCCAGATCTGCAAAAAACAATATTTCAGTTTCATCAACTCGTCTACTCAGTTTCATCCGAAGTCTTTAAAGCGTATGCTGCTCTTCTGAGATGAATATTTTTTAACGTAATATGAAAAATTCTCACAAATGATTTTGAACAATTGACAATTTCAAACGTATTAAATAAAAGTAAAATTCAGCGTTAATTAAATTAAGTTTCAAAATAATGAAACGATGAACGAGGTGTCAGTTGACAACGAATGGATTGAACGAATGAAGGAAGTTAGCTGACTGGACCTGAGGAAGGCTCCAGTGATTGGATGGCCTCTGATCAGTGACGTCAGAATGTTGCTCACTCCTGCTCGGAAGAGATGCAAGTTTAGAAGTTAACTCTAATTTGCAGTTTTTATGAATTGTTTAATAAATTAAGTTTCTTAGTAACGATGGAATTCAAACGAAACAAAATGGTTGGCGCCTTATATTCTGTGAAACAATTCTACTTTAAAATGTTTGTTTCAGAAAATTAAACAGGAAATGTTCGAAAATGTTCTTTGAAAAAATGAAACAAAAATAGGTGAATCGTGATTTTTCAATTGTCTTTTGACAAGAATTTCAGCGTTAAACATTCAAAGTGGTTTCGACAAAGGAAGTCATTTATTTCACAAAAGGCAGAGCAACATCAGCAACATCCTAACAAAACACCTGAATTTGTTAGAAAGTGAACTGTCAATTGCACAAACAAGCTGCAACTTCTGACAGTCCACCGTAGAGACAACAACGTCACATAAATCAAACATTTCAACAGAAAATTTCACAGAAACAAAAGGAGCTGAGCGATGACACTAACCCACAGCGATCAGTTCCCGGTCGTAATTCACTTCGTATTGATTTTTGCGGGCTGTGTACAAATTAAATTTTTATTTTTTCAAGCATTTTTTGGTCAAAAATAAAGATAATAACTGAAAACTACCAAAAGCTTTAGCGACGGAGAAGCATTCAAACATGATGATGGTGGGCACGAAGAAGAATCCCAGGCCGATGTCCTTTCAATGTAACATCACCGTACCATCAATCACACACTCACTCCAGCAGATTTAACCAAAATAAAGTTCTTACAGTATTGTCGGTTATAGTTTTTAGTTCAACTGATATAATATATTTTATAACTAGCAATATGTATAAACTAAATTTATTAAAATATTTTTGCATTTGTCTATAGGTTAGTTTGCTTGTGTCTGTTTAAGCAATAATTTATTGCTATTCTACACTAACATTTGTAACAAATAACTATTCTACATCATTTATAAATTTATAAAAAACTAAAATCAAAAATGGAGAAGTTCTCTTTTGTGAAATAATTACATAAACAGGTTAAGCTTACATTTGCAATTTGTGAGAACGACACGGTGACGTTGGAAGGTTCGTTGGAGAGGTGGAGTGTGAAGTTAGGGAGGCGTGGCCAGGGGATGCCTGACGGGATGTCGTCCGTGTGAGAGATGGGGACTATTTCCATTATCGCGTACACTATGGCGCTCCCTATCACTATGGAGAATATGTTGCGACCTGGAACAGTTGAGTTGAAACAATTTTTTTATTTTTTGGAATTTATTTTATTTTTTTCTCTTTTGTACCAAACTCTAACTGTTATATTCAAAGTTTTAAAACGTTAACATGATTTATATGTTAGTAATTAATTTTAAGTATAAAAATATAAATATAAAAAAGTATATATATATATTTACCTAAAAAAAACATTTACCATCGCATATGTAGGACTTCATCAATGAAGTTCACTGCCAACTAACATTAGTTAAAACGTTTACACGTTCATAAGAGTTTTTCGTAAACATGCATTCCCTTAGTTTTTATATATTCGTGAATTAATACAATTCAATAAAGGCAATGAAACTTCAACGTTGATTAAAAACTAAATATTAATTATAGAATTAATCCCATTAACTGGTCAATGAATATTGAAAATGGCAAAATGGCTAATCTGTCACATTTTACAAAACTTTTGAAAGAAATATTTTGTATCAGAAATTTTGTCTAATTTTTGAATAGCTTCCCAATCAGCAATGAAAAATTTTTAGGACAAGTTTGAAATTTTGTGTCATTCAAAGATAAAAAAGATTGAATCCCAAAGCGACCTCGACCTGCCCCGAGGATCCAGAAGAGGACACGACAGATTTTGTGGTGCAGTTTCATCCTACCTCTCCACGTTAGCGCTTTCAATTTCTGTCAATAAAAATGATGTTAACACGGATAAATAATTTAATCATAGCGTTTTATTTTCTATGGAACCTATTTTCACAAATAAAATCTGTTAGGCAGATGTTGAAAAAATGGCTTGAACAAAATTATTCTATAATTGTTAGAGCGATCAAAAATTGTAACTTGCATTACACTTTGATTACAAGTTTCGAAACAGAACATACGAGCTCATCAGATGAACTGCGATAAAAGTTTTAAACTGACTTTGAATGTGAAGAGCATCAAAATGCAAAATGCTCCCAGGCCAAGATCGTACAAGCTGGTCGATTAAAATAAAAAAATATATTGATCAGTAGGCAATCCCAACAAGACAACATTTAAAAACCTTAATAATAATAATAACAACAATAATAATGATGATGTAATTTGTGAAGTGCCAATGTATGTACAATTGCCATCCAACCGGCCGAGAAAAAATTTGAAATGAAAATTGATCTATTAATTTTATTACGAGATGAAAGTACACGCCGCAGGTTGCTTCATAACCTGAAGAGACATCAGCATGTGGGACTGAAGGCGTTTCACTCACTTCGTGTCGGAAATCCGCTTCAGTGTCCAGTAGAGTTGCGAGAGAAACTGGCGAGGAACTCCAAGCAGACCCCACCATTTCTGCGAGGTAACGAAAAATTTGCTATCATCATTTACGTACGCTATAATGCTATCATTAGTTTCCTATGCTTAAAATCAAGATGTTCTCAGCTATTAAAATTATTTCCAACAATTCTACAAAAAATAGTTTCGAATTTGAATAAGTTTGCTTGGAAGTAATTAATTCAACATTGAAAACGTTTACAGATTAATTAATATTTAATAGTTATGGTTGAATGGTTAAAAATAATAATTATATTTCGAAATAATATAAATATATTTAATAAAATAAATTTCTACTTGAATTTTATGAAAATTTTTAAATTTATTTTTTTGAAACCAAACCTTAATCCTGCTCATGAAGATGGTGATCCCTGCCGCGGCCCTGAAGCCTTTCCACACTGGCTGCGAGATGAAACTGAAGATGAAGCCTGTGCTTGCATATTTTTTCAATTGAATCAATAAAGTGTCACATTTAATGCAAGTATAATGTTCTATGTCAGAGTCTTAAAATGTTGTATCACCCATTGAGCTGTTTGTTAATTTTAATTGCTTCATTTCGTTAGCGACCGATTGCTTCTTTTTTGAAACTTTCAGTTTAAAATGAGATTAACCATATGCAAGGTGATGGCCTAGTGGTTAAAGGTGCATGATGATCTGTTTCGCGGAGTGTGTATTCATCGGGTTCGAACGTGACAAAAAATATCTGCTTACGAACATGCTTCGGTTCGATGCACATTGCTGATTCTTTTGAGAGTTTAAGACATCATTTTATTTTATATTAATATTATTTGGACTAATGTTTTTGTCATTCAATGTTCTAAGTTATAATTTGGTGGCCTATGAAGTTTTAACTTGCTTGGTCTCCAAACCAAAATAACTTGTTTGTTTCTTGATAAATAAATACTTTTTTGATTTGATTCATAACCTTTGATGTCTGGATGTGAAAAGAAATAATAGCTACTAGCAGAGCCTGTGGTTGTTTCGTGTTTTAAACATCATTTGTAACGCATTAACAAAAGTTAACGACAAATAAATTGAAAAAAAATAACGTTGAATGATCGTTTGGGGCCTTTTTTAAAAACAGGGCCAATAAACAGTCTAACTGGAAATAAACGTGAAATTGACGTGAAAAAGCACTTGCATCATCATCTGATGGTGGAAATCATGTTCAGAATAGCAATTAGCATTAGCTGAAACTCGATCACAGTTCCATACACTTGAGTTAGTTGTCAGTCTTGCATGCCAATAGCTCAGCTTGTTTTGAACGCTATTAACTAAATCAGCAAATGAAATAAAATCGACCTATTTTGAGGAGACCAGCGGTCAGTAGTATGAAGCCACTGACAAAAGCCAGAATGGTTGCGTATGTTGGATCTTTGGCAATCGGCGACCTTCCAGTTCCATATTCAGCTGTGACTATGGAGACGACAGCCGATGGTCCCACAGCAACATCCTTACATCCGCCAAGGACGGCGTATGTGTAGCTTCCCATTATGGAGGAATACAGGCCGTACTTCCCAGTCGTTCATTGAAATGATTTCATTCGCATGTTAAATATCATTATAGAGAAAAGAAAATATTCATCGTGATGAATTATTTCTATTAATATAGATTAAATTCAAAAGTAAGAAACGATTTATTTTTCAGAATAATCTATTACATTGTTTGAAGCAGACTAACCTGTGCAGGCAGTTCGACAATCTGTCCGTAAGCGAGGCCCTGAGGAAGAACTGACAACCCTGTGATCAAGCCCGCTACCAAGTCTCCCTTCAAGTGTCGCCATCTTGCGGTTTTTTTGAAAATACTATACTATACTATTTTTATATTAATAGATAAATTAATTTGAAATTTTATAAACAATTTAACACTAAAGCACCGTTGGGTAGCCAGGCTGAGTGACGTTTGAGAATTTAGACTCATTGTTTGAAAACAAAATATTAAACTATTTAAACATTTGCCATAGACATTTTGGTTTACTTTTGTTGTATTTTTCTCCGACCTTTCCTTAA